AAAGCTTATGCTCCCAATACTTCTGTTAGTCTTAAAGGTGCCACAGGACCCTCTGTTGCTTTTTACAGATTCAGACTAACACGGCTACCCCTCTGAAATTTAATTGTAGTTAGTTACTATTGTTTTAAGAATTATAATGAAGTTGTTTAGTATCAGTGAGATGCTGAGTTACATATACATGCTTTTACGTATGGGAGTGTCCTTTAACAATTATATGGAGTTATGTTTTAGAATTAGAAGGTGGTATTAATTATAATCAAGTTGTTTATTGTATTACTTTTGGTTAATGAACAAGTGTTTAATTTGAAATGATAAAAAGCATTTTAGTGTTTGGCATTGGAATGTTACTTTGATAGTGAACTCTGGAAGTTATCTAATGTAGAACAAAATTGGGTATAAAATTTCCCATACTGGAGGCTGGAATAAATAAACTCACCTGGAATTAAAGTTAGTTTTAAGATTAAAGGAACTTTTAAGAGTATATTACTATTCAATACACTGTTACAGCTTCTTGTTGAATATAACAATTAGAATTAAGGGGAAATAGAATTAAAATAGTAATAATTCAGTTTGTATTATATTTTCAATTATCATTGAGGGTTCTGAGATTCTAAAAGGAACTAAGGGCTTGTCGACACCTGCAATGGTGTAGTGGTACCACTGTAGGACTTCAGTATAGACACTAAATACGCTGATGGGAAGAGTTCCCCATCAACATAGGTAATCCACCTCCTCGAGAGCCAGTAGCTAGGTCAATGGATGAATTCTTCTGTTGACCTTGAGCTGTCTACACTGGGGATCAGGTCAGTTTAACCACATCACTCAAGGTGTAGATTTTTCACATCCCTGAGTGACGCAGCTGGGTCGACCTAATTTTTTAGTGTAGACCAGGCCTAAGAATATGCCAAAAGACAAACCTTTGTGAGATTGTGATAGCATCAACTGAATGATGGGAAAGAATGCACAATACCTGACTTGTGGCACCTTAGAGACTAACAAATTTATTAGAGCATAAGCTTTCGTGGACTACAGCCCACTTCTTCAGAGTAACAGCCGTGTTAGTCTGTATCCGCAAAAAGGTGCCACAAGTACTCCTGTTCTTCTTTTTGCGGATACAGACTAACACGGCTGTTACTCTAATACCTGACTTGTTTATGTGATCAAATTTATCACCTGTAGTCTGAAGGAGGATCATCCCCAAAATTTGCATTGTTGAGTGGTAAGTGTCAACATTAGAAACAGATACTAAAGGGTGTGATCCAAACCCATCAGTGCAACTGAATGGAAAACATATTCATAAAAAGCAGATTCTACCACAGGTTGGTAGAGGAGCAACCTCACCTGAAAATCTTGAGCAAAGAATCGTGTTGTTCTGGATCCAGAAAACTCTTCCCACTTCCTTTAGCAGTGGTCCTGAAGGGTCAACTTTCTCGCCCTAAGAGAGGGGAATTTCTTTAACTGAGTCCTTCATAGACAAAACCTATGGAGGATTTGGGCACACTGGTCCAAAGCTGCCTTGGAAAAGAGAAACTTTCCTAAAGGAAGGACAATCCAGTGGTTAGGCTGTTAGCCTGGGATTCAGAAGACCTGCATTTAATTCTCTGTTCCACCATGGAGTGAGTAAGTCATTTAGGGGTACATCTATGCTGCCATAGGCGCCAACTTTCCCGGGTGCCAGTGGGTGCTAGCCCCCCCCCCACTCCACCCTATATCCACCCCTGCCCCGCCCCCATTCCAACCCCTTCCCGAAAGTCTGAAGATTTGCAGTAATGCTCATAATACCAAACAGGAGCTTCTGTGACCTTTATTCACAACTGGCACAAGTTCATGTGAGAGCAGCAAAATACTACAATAGATTCTTGCAGCACATTTCAAAAATTCATGGCTTTCAAGTCTAATTTTCAAACCCAGCCTCCATGTGCAAAGCAATTGTGCGCATCTATACCCAAAGATATACACACTCTGGCATGATGCCCAATTACTTTTGTATGTGCATAATGTGAGATCACATGTGTAGGTATGCAAGCATGCTAGATTTTGCACACATAAAAGTGGGCCACGTATGTGCCCCTCCATTGAAAATCAGGCAATTAAATGTCATCCTTTAAATCTGCATCTCTGCTAAGCCTGCCAGCCAGACTAGGAATTAGTGCTAATTGGGCTGTGTGTGTGTGAGCGACATGGGCATGTGCCCATTGGAGGCAGAACTGAGATCGGGCAGCATCCAAGACACTTCACCTAGACTAGTAAACAGCCAGCATATCCAGTCACCACCAATCTGGAGCACGGCGAAGCCAATATATCCTAGAACTGAAAGTTTCTGTGTTTAATGGCAAACCACCCCAAGTCAGCTGCCCCACCAGGGTGTTAAAATATGCTATGAAAATGATGTATGAATCCCTACACTGGATCAGCTCTTAAACTGATTGACACCAGTTGATCTCCACTACGTCAGCTTGTGAATCTGTCCCACTGTGTTTACTCTCCATGGGTCAATTTTTCCGCAGGTTTCACTAAAATTGCCGTCACTTACCCCATCCCAGCCATGAATTTGATTCTGTTTCCTGCATTTCTTCTTGCCACAGGTACACAAGAGGGAAACTGTTATACCAGCAAAAATCAATCACATGTGCCTTGGCCAAAACAAAGAGTTGTTTGTTTTCTCTTTAGCTATGAAACTTTCCATCCAGCTCTACTCTTTAAACTGATCATCTTTGTTCTTTTGTAACACAAGTTAAGCAGGTTTTCTGAGCCTAAGGAAATCTTTCTGAGCATTTCATCGAGCTTACTTGCCTGTACAGATTCAATAACAGAAAACTCCTTCGAAGTCAACTCAAATTTAATCTCCATTTTGTCCTAGTACATTACCATGGCTCTGTTGTAAAGGTGTAATATATGGTATTTGAAATGCCATGGGTGATATAACATCACTGATTATTTTTCAATCAGAGCCTTGCCATTGAAGTCATTGGGAAGTGCTCTTTAAAACTCAGTGGCGTAATATGGCCCATCAGACCCACCATTCCGACCAATAGAGATATCTGTTCATTCTACATTCTCAAAGGATCCACACTATCTATCCCTTAGCCTCAGGATCTGTAACCAGCTGTGTCATGGAAGTGAAGATTTTTTCTCCCCTAGCTTTATCCTGTTTCTCCTCTTGCAACCAATACTATTCATCCCCAGCAAGAAGTACTGGAGACGTCCTTATTTAAAGGATCTTTCCAGTTCCTCTTCTATCACAAGATCCTTTTAACTACTGAGGCCCTGTTGTCTTTCAAGACAAGTCAAACAAAACAGGTCGTATAAAGCCAAGTTCTTCTGAGCTAAATTCAAATTTGTTTTCATTTGCTCGGTGAAACATAGTGTCTAAGTACAAAAGAAAGTGTGCATGGCTCAGAACTTCAGTCAAGACCGGCATGTGTAAAAATGATCTCCACTGATTGCTTTTTCTTGCAAATGTTTCCACTCAGAAAAAATGCTTGAGTTTTTGGGGGTCTTCATCAGACACTGGGACTGTCGTCCAGGTGCAATTTGACTTCAATAGTATAGAAAGAAATGTGAAACCGCTGACGTATACGATCCATTCTTCTTCCATAAATACAAAAGAGCAAACGGTTGCTTAGATAGCATGTTCCAGTAATTGAACCTGTACATTTCTCACTTTCCTGCCTGCCAGTGATTAGTAATGTTGGTTCAGGTTATTGGTTTATGCTCATCGTTTGCCTTTGGAGGTAACAATGTGTGCTCTTGGGATTAGCGTGCTGATTTAAAACACGTATGTTTACACATTCAGTCTAATACTAATACGTATATTATATGCACTGGCAAGCGTCCAGACCTTGCCACAACATCCTCCGCAACTCCTAGCTGAACTTGTCTTTCTGGCCTAGATCCTCAGAGGTATTTAGGCACCTAACTCCCACTGAAATCCCTACAGCTCAGACTCTCATCCAGTCCGTCATTATCTCATATCTTGATTACTGTCATTCTCCCCTCTAGCTTCTTGTTTCCTACACTGCACCCACCCCTCAGTCCATTCAAATCACAGCGGCTCGGATCACCTTCCATGACTGAATCACTTCTCTAGATACCTGCCATCAGGTGTGTGAGAGAGAGAGAGAGAGAGAGAGAGTGGATCTTACATTCCCTGGCATTGTGTGCAACAGTATTTACGCATGGATACAAAGGCAGACAGTAATATCTCTGTGAAAATCATGCAGTATTGAATGACAACAGCAAATCAGTCCGTTCCCCCGTTCCTCACTCACACACACACACACACACACACACATGGCAGGTTTAAGCAGAACTGCGCTAGCACAAGCCAGTTTACTAGGCAGAGCTACCTCTCAGGTGATGCTGAAGCAGAGGAAAACCTACATAGGTTCTTCCATTGCCACCCATCACTGGCGCATCTGACCAGGGTCTCTCTTTTCCAAAAAGCAGATTTACTATAGTATAAAGGACGAGGCTCAGTGCCACTCAGCATCTTCCAGCTGCTTCTGGGTAATTTTCTTAGCTTGAGCTAGGAATCAGGGCATCAAAAGGGAGTCCTATCATTCACATGCAGCCTGAGTTGTACTCTGCCAGTAATATACCTGTGTTTTTTTGGTGGTGGCTCACTAAATTCTGTTGACAGCTGAAGTAATCATTGTGTAAAGAATAAACCCGATGGCTTCACTAGTTTAAAACATCTTAAAGTGCAACTGCTGGGGCAAGACGGCATTTCAGGGTGTTAAATCACCTATCTGCAGCAGCCAGGGAGCACAGCTGGACTCTGTATCGCCCCTTCCCCAGTGGAGAATCTTCCACCCTGCAACTAGGCTCTTGTGAATGGCACTAGGGGATCTGCTGAGCATACTGCAGAGAGTTTGTCCCAGACAAGTTACCTGAGCTGAAGCTACCATATTTGCATCTATTTCAAAAGCTCCAAAGTTGAAGGGTGTCTGGGTCTGAGGTTTGGATTCATTCTAAACGGACTGTTAAAAATTCTGATCTAGACCTGCATTCATAATTCTGACACCTTCAAAATTCAGAAGTGCTTGGATCTGGATACTGGGGTTTGGCCCAGGAGTCCTTTTCCAGTTGTCTGATCATGAACCTGCTAAGAAAGGAATTAAATGGCCCTTAGCTCAAAGTTTGTTCACTAGCCCTTCCCCTCCATTCCTGGCATTCACCCAGGAGAATCAGGAACTTCTGTTGTCAGGAACTCCCTATGCACCAGCCTCCATGACTGACCTCAGAAGCAGATTGGTCAACCAGATAAGAGCTGTGTGACGTTATTGACATAAACTGGGACCATATAGATCATTGTTGTAACCAAGGTCCTGTAGTGGCACCCAAATCTTGTATAAAGGGGGTCAAATGGGGTGTCTAAGACCAGGTTATGGTTTACTGGTTATGATTATGCTGTCTATATGTGTGTATCAGTTTTGTAGTTGAAGTTATGAATGTTGGCTCTGTACTGTCTGTATGGCAAACTTATGCTATGCTTCTGGGTGACATCCTAGACAAGCTGGGATTAGCTCTGCCTAGCCTGCTTGATGGCCCATTAAGGATCATCAGCTATACAATGGACCCATTGAGAGAAGGCAAATATGCCTTCAGACTCAGCAAAGTATGCAGAAAGTGACCCATGTGACGCCAGACTCCATTTTGCTGTAATTTTCCACAGTAAGAACAAAGAGGTGTTTTTACACCTGGAAAAGACTATAAAAGGCTGATGCCTCATCTCCATTTGGTCTTCAATCCTGCTTCTTACCTCTGCAAGGACTTTGATACAAGCTGTAGCTTTGAACTAAGGACTGAATGACCCTTCCCAGCGGGGGATGTATTCCAGAGACTTAATTTGAACCTGCAGTTTATTCTATCACTGCTACAAGCCTGAACCAAGAACTTTGCCATTACTGTATGTAATTAATTCCATTTAACCAATTCTAACTCTCATCTCTATTTTTTTCTTTTATCAATAAACCTTTAGATTTTAGATTCTAAGGGATTGGCAACAGCGTGATTTGCGGGTAAGATCTGATTTGTATATTGACCTGGGTCTGGGGCTTGGTCCTTTGGGATCAGGAGAACCTTTTTTCTTTTATTGGGGTATTGGTTTTCATAACCATTTGTCCCCATAACGAGTGGCACTGGTGGTGATACTGGGAAACTGGAGTGTCTAAGGAAATTGCTTGTGAGACTTGTGGTTAGCCAGTGGGGTGAGACCAAAGTCCTCTTGGTCTGGCTGGTTTGCTTTGCCTTACAGGTGGAAAAACCCCAGCCTTGGGCCATAACTGCCCTGTTTAAGCAATTTGTCCTGAGTTGGCACCCTCAGTTGGGTCCCGCCAGAACCGCATCGTCACAAGCTGTAAAAGGAGCCAAGCAAAGCTAGATATCCAGAAACAATATCTTGTGCTTAAGAATCCTAGTTCCCAACATGTATTTCCCTCCAAGGCCTCATGAATGGGAGAGACAAGGTGGGTGAGGTAATATCTTGTACTGGACCAATTTATGTGGGTGAAAGAGACAAGTTCTCCAGCTC